GTCAACCCAAACTTTAGCTTGTCTGGCATAAGGTTTGTCTATATTTTACAAAGTTCCTATCGTTGAAATCAACCATTTAATGAATTGTATACAGAATTCATTAAAATGTATTTTCCTGAATTTATGATTACAGGAATTGGATTACAACTGATCAAATGCTGACCCAAACAAAGACAAAAGGTAGGAGTCTACTGTATGTGTGTTTAGAGGGCAATTTTCTTTTTGCACCAAGACTTGTAAGTGTTCGGAGGAAAGAAGTGACGGAGGTTGGGAAGCCAGCAGCTCAGGTCCTTGCCTAACTTAACTAGTAGATAAACCAGTAGATTCTGATCACTACATTGAACGAATCTCCATTTCCAAGGGGTCTGTTACACCTGGGTATAATGCCTAGCTAAGTTAGCCCCCTGTAACCTGCTAAGTAAATGCACAGCACCAGCGCCCAGAGCCTGCTCACCTGTAAAACTGCAGCATGAAGCCTGTGATGGCCATCCCCCCCGGCACCTGGAAAGACATCCGGCCAATCAGGTTCATGCGGTCGCCAGAGTCGGGGTGGAAGGCAGAGTCGTACAGTTTCTTGGCGTAGTGCAGCTGCTCCACAGTGGTGCCTGGGGGTACGGTGCCCGACCTGAGGGGCAACCAGGAAGGTCAGACAGCCACAGCACACCTCGAAAAAAGAGAGCCTGCCCATATCTGGACAGAGCCCCCAACCATTTGGAGCGCTCTTAGGGGTTTGATCCCAGTTCAGCAACAGTCCACCTGATTCAAAAAGGCCTTAGAAAGTTAATAACATACACCGTTTCAGATACATTCATGAAGAGCTCACGTGAATAAGCTTTTAAAATATTAATAATTCCTTACACATACATAGCGCCTTTCTGGATACTCCACTCAAAGCGCTTACAGATAACGGGGACCCCCTCAACCATCATCAGTGTGTAGCCCCACCTGGATGATGCGACGGCAGCCATAGTGCGCCAGTACACTCACCACACATCAGCTATCAGTGGGGAG